GCCCTTAGGCCATTGTTAATTATCATTTTTATAAATTATCTGTGTTAATTTGAAGTGCAGCATGCTTCTGTGTGCTGATGATCTTTAATTACATTCAAGAGTAGACCGCTTCTATGACTGTGAGAATATGCAGAGTGATATAAGTACAATAAAAACATGCCTCTTAACATCAATAAAATGTAAGTTTGTTTCTTTACCTCGTAAATTTAACTATATTAATTACAATTACAACGGTAATAGTGTGAAAAAATTATCTAGTTTTAAAAATTTAAAAGATACATTTGATAGTATACTTCCATAAGCCATATAAAGTTATAACAAAACAAATAGAAAAGATGGAAGTGACAGATACGATTCATATCTACACCAACGGTTCTAAAACAAAACATGGCTCAAGATGTGGAATATACTCCAGATTCTTAAACTTAAACATAAAATGGACTGGGGGCAAGAGTGCCAGTGTAGTTCAAACAGAGCTAACGGGGATTGTCATAGCAGCAAAAGAAATCACCAGAAACAATATCACTGAAAGGAACTGTAGATAGCAGGAAATCAGAATATCAGTAATTAAAAGATAATTTTATTTTAAAATATGAAAAGCGTTATATAAAAATTGTTGTGTCAAAGGTACGTCTTGTCTTTCGAATCAGTAATCAATCAATCTTTTTGTTTTCTTTTTCCATGGTTACCCTCCATCGGATAAGTAGGGTGCTAGTATACGCAGCTATCGACCAAGATCATAATATATGTGATATTATAATGGTACAATCTGACATTGACACTTGACCAACCTCAAATAAAAACTGACTCATAGCGGATTCGACTCAAATGCTCTTGCTCGATGACAAAGCGCTTTTAGTTCTGAATTGATTTTTGGCAGCATTTATATAATTCAAATTTATATCTAGCAGTGCACACAGCAAGCTCGAGCTAGAATTCGACATTGGTGTAGCGCATCTTTATCGTTATTCGACTGGCACAGTTAGCACTTGACATTTCAGGTTTCTAACAAAGTTTTAACGATATTTATTAATAGTTGCCAAACCAAAAATTAAATTTCTATTAATTTCAAAGATTTTCCATTCTCACTAATAATAAAAACAAAGATAGTAATATATTTAAAAATATTAAATAATTCCTAACCTTCAAAATGACACTGGCACTGAAAAAAGTACAGTTCCAAAAAATTCGAACTTCGAGCAAGAACGCCTGCCAGTCAAACAAAAATTTCTCTATGCCTTAATACCGAGCAATTTGAGTCGAATGCAATAATTGACTTTAAATTCATTAGATTATGCCAGTCGAACAGACACCACTTAAAAAAATCGAACTAAATGCGCATTAATGCAGCCAGTCGAATCCGCTATAAGAAACCTTAAAATAAATTGACGTAAAAGTCAAAACTAAAGGTAAGACTATGTGGTGCTATGATGTCGCCACATAATAGATAGCAGGAAATCAGAATCTCAGTAATTAAAAGATAATTTTATTTTAAAATATGAAAAGCGTTAAATAAAAATTGTTGTGTCAAAGGTACGTCTTGTCTTTCGAATCAGTAATCAATCAATCTTTTTGTTTTCTTTTTCCATGGTTACCCTCCATCGGATAAGTAGGGTGCTAGTGTACGCAGCTATCGACGAAGATCATAATATTTGTGATATTATAATGGTACCATCTGACATTGACACTTGACCAACCTCAAATAAAAACTGACTAAGAAACCTTAAAATAAATTGACGTAAAAGTCAAAACTAAAGGTAAGACTATGTGGTGCTATGATGTTGCCACAGGAACATGCTCATTTATACAGATAGCAGATAAGAACTACTCACCCTGAACAGACCACGAATTTACTCAGGGGTAGTACTAGAATGTTACGAAGCTTTGGCCGAAGTATCCATCAATAATGTGGCCACCTTAAGATAGATCAAAGGTCACGCCACATCGAAAGGTAACCGTCTTGCTGATTCACAGTTCAAGAAAGCAGCCGCGAAATACTTTTTAGACCTGGTCCTTCTATTGGCCTGACAAAATTGGTAGTGATAGACCTAATTAAAAAACATTTCCTTGTGAAATTCAAGGAAAGATGGGTTGAAACAAGAAACTGCAAAGTTGACAACACTGCAAATACTTGACTATGGCCAGACAGAATATGCGCCTAGTTACAGGCATTATGACTGGTCATTGCCAAGTACGGAAGCAGAATATGCACTCTGCAGGGGGTGCGAACAAGAAAATGAGACCATCGAGCATATCCTTTACGATTGCTTGACGCTCTCATTTATTAGAAGATTTGTGTTCGGCGAGTATCGGCTAACACCAATTGGCGACGTTATCAACAACATTACAATAGGCCTAGTAAGGCCTAAGTGCCGTAGGGGTAACCCACCCTCCACACGTTACAGATACAGATTTGGATTAATAGTATACAAACATTTGTTTATCATGTAAACTATTTTAATATATAGGTAGTATAAATCTTAAGGATTCATTTTTAGAAATTCAAAATGGATGGAACAAAACGATACACTTACACTAGTATTTAATTTCTTCTCAAGATCAAAGATAAAGAATGCATCAGGGATATATTATACACATTAATAATCTTGAGGAAGTTCAGAAGCTATTTTTAAAAAACTCATGGTTTAGGGAAGACCAACTTTATCTTCAAAGAGGTATTATATAAAATGTTCTACTTCATAGGTTTTAATCTCAATCTCTATAAGATCGTAGGACCGTAACATTTTTAACAGTCGCATTGACTCACCCCATCTAATTTCACTCATTAACTTGCTGGTTCCGGGTATTAACACTCACTCATTGACCTTATTCTATATTCTTAGACCTGTCTTTCTCCTGTTTATAAAATTTATACTGACTATATGGAATTACAAAATAATGTTATTTTTAATATCAACATCATAAGTGTAAAACAAAATAAAACCTATCGTGCAAGAACTTACACCAAAAATATCTAAATTAAAAAATATGAAAAAGTTTTATGGGCTGGCAAAATCATCTAATTTTTAATATGATTTAGTCTTACGTTGTAGAAAAAGTGTAGTATTCAACTTGTAACGAATGCTGATTTCCTACTTGTTCCCGTTAAACAATACAGTATTCTTAGTGTAGAAAAAACTGCAAGAAGTGGTAAAGGATTGTCCACTCTTAAACCGCATGACGTCCTCTTAATTCACAATTGCAAATCAGTAAAATTAATGTAAGCTAAGGGCGTTTCTTGTTTCTTTTATTAGTATAGAAAATTAGAGGTTTATTCATAAATTTTAATAGTCATCTTGCTCCAAATATTAGTAGGTAAACGATTATTTAATGACTTGGAATATGTGGGCAGGTTTTATGTGGGAATAAGTAACCTCGTTTGTTACTAGAACTAGTGTAGTATCTATAATGAATAGATAGAATACATTTTACCCCCTGATAATAGTTGACAATTGTATAGAAGATAAAGTAAGCATATATTTGACAGTAATAATTTGTACACCTTTTTCAAGTCGTTCAACTTATTTAACTATGTATTTGTAATTTTTTTATGAAATTGCTATCGCACTTTAGCACTTTTAATATTGTTATTACATTTCCTACATTTGTATTTCTTGCAACTACATTGCTCTAGTTCGTGCTCGGTTTAACCATGTATGTTTATTTGTATCATTTTACGGAGATGTCCCAGTATCTTGTTATTATTTAAAAAATGGAAAATCGTCAAAATAATCGATATTTTGAGACTTTTTTCCATAAAAGTTAAATCAGATTTTGGAAAAATAGCACCACAGTAAAACAGATTTAACCCTTTCCGACATACATTTTTTTTTCACCAAAAATAAACATTAAAAGTGGAATTCCTACTACTAGAAGTTTGCTTGGCTATAGGTATTTGTATTGAGACAATTGTCAAAGTGAATGCTCCCCTTAAAGACATTTTTCTAATTGTGACATATAAAGTAACATTTTTTGTAAACGCGGCAATGTTGAACATTATCAAACTGGTTTCGAAAAATGCATTATGTCACCAGTTGCGAAAAGAAAATAAATAAAAATAAACCTTTTTTGGTTTTAAAATCAATAATATACATTATTATTGAAAGTTTATATCAAAGAAAGGTTGACTTATAAAAATAGAATTTGGTTTAACTTACAACACAATCTAGTAATAATGTTGTTTCGGTACTTTTTTCCATTCTAATAGCGCTATTATGGTCAGACATGTAAATATTAAAGATTTAAGCACTAAATAGAAATTTAAATAGGAGTTTTAAACTTTTTAAGAAATTACGATTGTGGTCAAACGTATTTAAAATCAGGATAGAGGCTGTTAAAGAAATCTAGTACAGTTGCCACGTTTGAGAATCCACATCGGATGCATCTGAGACGTAGTAAATCTTTGATCACGAGATTCAGTATACGTAAATGTAATGGGACAGATGTGTCCGGTGTGGATAAAAAAACGCTCGAGATGTAAAGAATGCATCCGATGTGGATTCTCAAACGCAGCAAGTTTTGGTCAAATTCTTCTTTTTTATTTGATTTTTCCCCTTTTTAAGGTTATATCTGTTATTTTATGTCGTCGTGTGTCGTGGCGTGGAGATATTATTATTCTAAAGGGTTTGTTTTTTTTTTCTCAAAAAACATGTCTTTGGGTATGTACTATAAATCATTTGTTTAATAATAACTTTTATATCACAGAATTTTTATTAATTTAAATATATATCTTGATTACAGTGCCATTTCCAAAGTGAAAAAACAACGGGGAGCAAATACTGCTGTGGAGCAGTATAAAGAATATATAAAGCTTTTAGAAAATGAAGAACTATTTAGAACTAATTTAGAACCATTAATTAAACTGTACACGAAAGTGGGAAGAATTGACCATTAAATTAAACTCCAAATCAAAGGGTTCACAATTAACTATAGATAAATTAATTCAAGTAAATTTTTATATATTTTGTTCTTACATTTTTATTTCGTTTCATTTATTTCAGAGATTCTCTGATTGGAAACATACCACTAGATTCAAATATCGAAAATATTTGGTAAATAAAAATAAAACGGAAGGAGGCCCAGAAGTGAAAACTCCATTGACTAGTCTTGAGGAACGAGCAATTAATGCTTGGGGAAAAGTTGTTGTTGAAGGTAGTTCTCTTGTGCCAGAATTGTATGGTGACATAATTCAAAACACTCCAACAAATGCACACTCATTTCATGAAAATATATTGTAAGACTTCAACATTGAAAATATAGAAATTGTGTTAGAAGACAATGCCCAACCACCAATTGTACCTGAAACACCAACAATTAAGATACCTCTACGAGAAATTCTATTAGAAAACAATGTCCAACAACCAGTTGTACCTAAGACATCAGGAATCAAGAGACCTCTACAAAAACGTTAGAGAAATTAATCGAAAGCGTCCAAGAATTTTAAATAATCTAACGGAAGCTTTATTAGAGCAACTCGAAGAAAATATTGTTCACAAGAAAAATTGGTGTATGCTATAAAAGAACTGGCTGATTCTCAAAAAGAATTATTAAAATTCGAGGTTGCTGCATTTAAATATATGAGTAAAAATAAGGATTTTTCAATTTGAATTTAAATACAAATAGTTGTAGTAAATAAATTATAAAAAAAAAATTTAAAATAAAACATTTTTATATTTTTTTTTTTTTTATTTTAGACATTTTGATAATTTTGACCAATATAAACTACTCTTGCTGCTTGTCCTTGATGAGCTGCTATATTATCGAAATAATTTCCTTGTTTATAATCGTCAACTTCTTCTAAATGTTCTTCATTTTCAATATCCATATTTTCTTTAACATATTATGTAATATCCCATAAGAATATGAAGCTTTGGCCGAAGTATCCATCAACAACGTGGTCACGTTAAGATGGATTAAAGGTCACGCCACATCAAAAAGTAACCGTCTTGTTGATTTACTAGCCAAGAAAGCAGCCAACCAAATACTTTTTGAACCTGGCCCTTCTATTGCCATGACAATATCGGTAATGACAGACCTAATCAAAGAACGTTCCCTTGTGAAATTCAAGGAAAAATGGGATGAAACAAGAAACTGCAGAGTTGCCAGGGAGCTCTTAAGTTATCCTGACAACACTGCAGCAAACAAATACTTGACTATAACTAGACAGAATCTGCGCCTAGTCACATGCATTCTGACTGGTCATTGCCAAGTACGAAAGCATCTCCATATCATGGGGCTGTCAGAATCTGCACTCTGCAGATGGCGCGAACAAGAAAATGAGACCATCGAGCATATCCTTTACGATTGCTCGACGCTCTCATTTATTAGAAGATTTGTGTTCGGCGAGTATCGGCTAACACTGGCCGATATAAGAGAAGCACCACCTCTAGGCGACGTTGTCAACTACATCTGTAGGCTGGCTCACGAGCTAGGAGGTGCTTATCATCTCAGGAGGATGCACAATGGGACTAATGAGGCCTAAGTATCGTGGGGTAACCCACCCTCCACACGTTATAGATACAAATCCCATAAGAATATACAATGAATGCAGCTGTTGTAGGATGATATTGCAGCACACGAAATTTGGACAGGCATCTAAATTTTGCTTTCAATATACCATTTGTGCGCTCCACTATATTCCGAGAACTTTTCAAAGCCCGATTATATTGGCCCTCTGGAATATGATCATCTGCATTTTCAAAAGGAGTTAACAACCATGGATCAACACCATAACTACTGTCTCCGATTAAAAAATGGTTCCTTTGTTCTTCTTCAAACTGTTCTGCTAAAATTTGTCTAACATTTGATATTTGCTAGATAGCCGGATCATGAACAGAACCAGGAAATCTAACATTTAGTGCAGTAATGTAGCAATTTGAATCATTAACATTACATTAATAGAGTGTCTTCATTTTCTGTTGATATATAAATGAGGTTGGTGTTCTTAATCTGTACCAGGAGGAGCTATAATTTTAACATGAGTGCCATCGATGGCACCGATGATTCCTCGCATACCCCATTTGCTATAAAATCTTTCTTGTACGGCATTTTTTTCTTCCAGATTTGTAGGAAATTTAATCCAGTTTCATGCTAAGTGAAGAGTTATTAAACGACTTACTTCATTAATGGCCAAATTTATAGATGTTTGATTCATACAAGTAAATAAAGAATTGCCGATTGCTTTCTGATCAGATCTATTAGCAAAGAAGTTTATCGTCGCTAAAACTTTGAAATAGAATGGAATTGAATCCTTTCGCCTTGGATGCCTATAATGCACTTGAAGTCGATCAATGATTTCACTCCTTATCATTTATTTTGATAAACGAAATATTTTCAAAAATTGTGGATCAAACATCTCAAATGGATTATCATGGTCTCGTAGCATTCTTCTCTAAATTCTTATAGTATTTCTGTAAAAACAATTCGTATTATAATTTAAAATATGTGTACCATTTCTGTTAGTTTAGCTACCTATTATCATCTTCTTCCGCTAATAAGTAAATAAATATCGGTAATAAGTCCACTTTTAAAAATATAATTTTTATTTAACATGCAATTAAACAAACTAGCCAGCTTTTTGCACCTTTAAAACTAAAGATTTAGCATAAGCTATATAAATATTAAACTCGTGATTTATTTTTCAAATAAATTTATTTTCTATTTAAATATGGGTTTTACTTTCTAAACTATGGTACTGCATTACAAAAAAATTTGAATATGCCATGAATATTTAAAATACCATGAATATAGACATTATTAGACATACATAGACATCCTCAGTAAATCCAGAGAATATGCCATACATATGTTTTGGCAGATAAAAACATATCGTGGGCATATGTTTCATGGTGACCTTGAATATTCCTGCAATCTTCCTGTCATATGCCATGGAGGATATGATATATCCATGGAATATAGGAGTATGCAGTTGAGATATGCATTGAATATTCATGCAATATTTTTGTGCTGTCTGGGATGCGACTAACAATACAAGAAAGTAATATTGGTTCCCTAAATGTCAGTAATGATTAACCAAAACAGAATTTTAGTCAAAATTAGAAAAAATATTGTATGTAACACGTTACGAAATGCCGTTTTATGTAACTCGTTCACGTCGCGGGACCTCGCTCTGCTCGTCCCGCACATATTTACTTAATACATAAAATAAGGCATTTCGCAACTGGTTTGTTAAATAGCTATTGTTCAATTCATTTTCTTAAAAATTAGAATTTTGTACTTTTTGTCAACTTTCTCGAATGCGGATCATTATAGGAAAATCATCTATAAGTCAAAAATTGTAGAAAATGGCATCACAAACCAGTTTTATTTGACAAATTTTCTTCTCCAATCGTAAATAACAGATATATTCCTTAAAGTAGAAAAAACGACCCTCTATAAAGTACCTTCCAGATGCTCCGACTATATCCCAAATCTAATAATCTAATTAAAGAATGGATTAAGGCTTAAGTTTAAAATTTAGTCTTTTTTTTTTCTTTATCCGTTTTTGAGTTATCGTCGATACAGACATCATCGCGAAAATAGACAAAACGGATTCAGAGGACCCCAAAACGAAAAAATCAGTCGAAAACTCATTTAAATCATTTACGCAATTCGAGCGAAAAGGTGGTTGCCCTTTTTTACAAATTTTCTGTTTCAAGCAGCAAAGTTATCGGCTATTGTTAAACAGGAACTCAATCGGGTGAGGAATTATAAAGACTTATAAAGAAAAAGGATACATAACATGTACTGGTTTTGTTCGGTATAAGAAGAATTGGTAAAAAGTATTTTGTCGAGAATTCATAATATTTGAACTAAACATTACACTTAAAATGTTAAAGAAGTTGTTTTCTTAACCTCCTCTCTACAACACTGTTAATATTTTTAAGGTTCTGCTTCTCGATTCAACGAAAACTAATTTGGCCTATACTCCTTTCTTGTTTATCCATTCATTCACTCGATTTAACTTTAATTTCCAGTCTGCTCGCAAAATAAAAACTTTGTAATTACAGGTCTAGAGTTAATTCAGTGGCTAATGAATACCTTCTAACAATGGAAAAACAAATCTTTAGCAAATTCTGTGCCACTCATTCGTTAAGTCATCTATTGTAGGGCAAGTTCGAACGTACGCCCTTTTGTAAGAAAAAACCCTATAGAAACGGGACAGACTTCCGTTGTCGCCAAGCAGTTCGGATCTTAGGGTTCGCTTCTTGGATTTCTTTTGATTTTAAACATCAATTGGTAATTACAAGTATTTAATGATTAACTAAGGAACTCGAGGTATATATTTGCTGACTGATTAATTAGTAGTTATTTACAATTCAAGTGAACAAACGTATTAGGCCAATCAAGATGTACATCCGTGCTTGCAAAAGGTCCGGTTGTTCTGAATTTTGTTAGGACCTAAAGCAATATTAAAAAACCAGAATGTTCGTACTTTTTCAGTTTTCAGTTTCAGTAAGGGCACTTGGGCACGTGCCCTAGTATAATAAAACAAAAAAAAACTTACATATTTTATATTTTCCTTATTGCCTATTATTATTTTATCTAATATTGAGCGCAAACCGCGTTGGCACGACACTGGACGACCGGGCGTTGAGCGACGTTCCGAGAATTCCGAAATTAAGTGGAAGATGGGCGGCACAGGGCACAGTAAATGTGTACCTCTGTTGTTTTCTCTCTCATTATGATGCGAAAAACAAGGACAAAGACAATATCGCTTAGCAAGAGATATACACATGCGATGGATTATACGTCACAAGAGGGCACTGTCCTCATTGTAACGTGCTGTACCCATGGCATAGATTACCTAGACCAAACACCTTTTCTTCAGAGTCGTATGCTTTAAAATGAGTTAACAAGTTAGAATTGTTAAGTAAATTGCATTCTTCTGAGAAATTTACGCAAATTTCGCAAGAGTGGATATGTAATGATTTTTTGATTAAATAGTCACATACATAGTTAAATGCATTTTGAGTGGTCAAATTTAGCTCTCTGTAGTCACATTCAGAAATCGTTATTACCCCAACTGATTGTTTTTAAATATATTTAATTTTCATTAAGCGGAGAACTTGTTTTCCTAAGGGAATAACGAATCCCGGGATTCCTTTCCAGTGTGTGCCCCCACTGCCGCTAGTGCCCACGAGCCGCCACTGATAGTCACTCTACATACTTTTAAAAAAGACTAAATTTACTACAATTTGAGACTACGGCGAGCTCTATACAGTCATAGGTTTCCAAGTTATAGTTTATCAAAAATAGGTCATTTATTCCAAAAAGTAATTTTTCTTAAATGGTAACTTTTTTTATGAAATATATTCTAAAATACGCATCCCACGTCAAACATTATATGAAATGAAGTTGTAGTAATATTAATTCGCTTTCATTTGAGACCAGACTGCGGTACCTGTAGGCCCAGCGGTTCTCTCAAACACGGCAGATAACAATAAAACATAAGTCATTAGTGGGTTTTGGGGGAAAATGCAAATAAACTGTCCCCACGTCTTTTTATGGTTTTATCTATTAAACAGTTACAATTTATTTATTTTTGTTATTGTTAAAAAAATGTTTGATGAAAAAAGAAAAAGATAATATACCTATTGGAAATTACATCATCAAAAATTTTTTTATATACCTACCTACATACTACAATGCTTGTACAAACATCATGGTACCTACTATAAGGACAAATTACATTTACACAAAAAAAAACTAATAGTAATCATGTAGATATTATGTTTTGGTTGCCAAATCATGCCTTTCTTTATATCTTAGAGGCCCGGGCTTGGGCTTGCACGAAGATGGTGTCTCGATTGCTGCGATGAATGCTGGGAGAGACGTCCAGTCTGTAGTCGGGTTATCTTCATCGTCCGAGTATTGCAGTTCCACATCCGGGACGTTAATGCACAATTTGCCACCGCATGAGCAGTGGAGCCCAACCTTTATGCACGAGCAGCTCCCAGAGCACACTTTCTTGCATTTACATGAAATTTTTCACAGAAGAGCAGGAGGTGCGGGATCCATGGTGAAAAGACAGCTTCCACCCCCAATTAGTGGGATTTAAGTTGACTCACCGCCACTTCTGCACTTGAAGGTAGCACCTTGCTGCATGGTAGCCTGCGGCATCTTCCGTCGCTAGCAATTATGCGAGGTGTTTATGCTCGTTGAAGTGAAAAATATCTTATACCTCAGAAAAATCAAAGTATCCGCGATGTCACCCCCATATAGAGCCACAAAGCACTTGATGCCTACTTCTCTCACGGCTTGTGGGGTAGAATGGCCGAATGAAGACCTCCACTTGCTCAGCAAGTGGTTAACTCTTGCTCAGGAGTGTGGTGATTTTGGTCTTTCCTTGTCCAAACGGTGCTGAGGTGGTATTGCACCCGGTAACTCGTGTGAAAATAGTACCGTCCCTGGTGATCGCTTAGAGTCCTGGTGGTTGTAGGAGGTCGTAGAGTAGTGACAGCAACCAGCTTCGCCCTTCGTGTTCTTCTGAAGGTGGACGTTTGTCTCATCAGCGCCTAAACCATTGAGAAGAACGAGCAGGTCGACGTCTTTTCCCACTATGACCACCCGATTGACTACTGCTCTTTTTGAAAGGGCCGTCATGATGATCTCTCTCTCGATCCGCATATTCTTCGGCAACAGCCACTTCTACTCCCTCCTTCTGAAATGCGTAACAAAGAAGAGAACTGTTTGATAAATAAAACCTTAAAAAGGTGTGACAAAGGTTTATTTGCATTTCCCCCAAAACCCACTTATGGCTTATGTTTTATGGTTATCTGCGCTGGGCCTACAGGTACCAGGCAGGTCTCAAATGAAAGCGAATTAAATTTACTACAACCTCATTTCATGTTATATTTGATGTTGGATGCGTATTTTAGAAGATATTTCACAAGACGCTATATTTGCAATTCTTGCCTAAAAAGTATATGGTAGGTTCACCATAGCTGAATAATGATGCTAAAAGTTGGCCAAATTTTTACTGTCGTTATTAAGTACCCACATTTATTTAAAAAAAAATAGTATACTAGATATTAGGTTAGGACATTTCCTTAAAATTTAATAATAAATATAGACACAACCAAATTTATATGATCTACTAAAAAAAAATATTTGCAAAAAAATATTTCCTCATAAAACACTTATATTTCGTTTTTAGAAATACAGGGTGATTCCATATAAATTTGTTTGTTTGTATTTCGGGTACTAGCGTCATATAAACTTATTATAATTAATATAAATATAGAGTTACATACCTAAATAAATAAATCGTTTTCTCCTAATAAGGAGTCATCATAATCAATTTCTGTTTCTGTTTTTTCTGAGTTTGTTTGATTATTTATGTGATTAAATAGAGCATACCTATTATCAGCATGGTTCAACAGTGTTTTGTTTGTAATAAAACAGACTATTTACATGTTAATCTTTCGTTCCACAGATAAGTTCATTTCTTAGGTTATGGTTGTGAATGTTGTTAATTTTTCCATGTGTTGTTATAGACCTCATAGGCGCACAAAAATTAATTCAAAACGTATTTAGGTACAGTAATTTCTTTGTAGATTTATAGGTAACGATTTACTTTAAAAATGTTTAGTTTTAATAATTATAATTGTAAAGAATCTGACAAGCACCAATAATTATTTGCAACGATGTTCGATTTTTATGATTATTTTTTGTTAGAAATAGGGTACCTCAGGAATGGGCCCATATAAATTTGGTTAAGATCTAATAAGGGGGTCCATGAGAAAATCATCAAACTCTTCATTTTTATGTATTTTCAGCGATAATTCTTTAGGACGTTGTTCAATTTCTATGATTCTTTTTTGATTAGAAAGGGAATACCTCAGAATTGTTCAGGATCTGATGATCTAGAGAAAATAAAAAAAAATATTTTAAAATAACTTGTTTATTTATTTAATTTTGCATAGAGAGTTAATGGGAAGTGAGTTAAGTATTTTGTCCCTTTCTTATCTTAGAACCAGCTTTAAGAATTTGATTATCTTTAATATATGATATATAGCCATTATAAGATTTTCAATTATTATTGGGATATTAGATTTTATAATACGCAAGAAGCTTCTCTTTAATCAGGCGACCAAATAAATTGCAAGTGAAACTGACTTAAGTTTTATAATAAAACTAGTAGGTATTCAAATTATTCATATTTTCAACAATATATAGTTAGTTAAAATATAACAACACATGTAGGTACTGCTTTCACGAAAGAATAAGATATTAAACAATCTTAAATAGTTTTGACTATTAATTCGTTTATCATCGGTTAAACGCATTTTTAAATCTAGCGGTGAACTCAAAAATTCGAAAATAATTTCCATTGATTTCCCTTCATCACTTGTAGGTATATTGATAATTTTTTCCCCAAATTATACGGCGCATAGTTCTGAGATACAGGCCGTATCATACAACCGGCTTTCTTTCTTATTTGGACACCAAGTACTTTTATTCTATTTTACGAATATTTTAGAATGTCTAAAATATTTTCAGGGAAATGTAGATGAGATACTTGCATTATTTTGGCAGTTCTGAAGCTCTACAGCACTTATACACCAGCCGCTACTGAATGTTTTATATTTTTATAAATTTTGTTTTATTAATTTATATAAATATAAATATTTTTAATACACTGCACACCTTTTTAATTATTTTTAATATTTTTTACAATTTCTCTCTAATCAAATTCTAAATTTAAAAATATTTAGTACACACACAATACTTTTATGTCTTTACTTTCACACAACCCACCCATAACTCGCGTTTATACCTCTACAAATAACTTTCTTCAATTGAATTGTGTTCCCCTAGCTCATAACCTATAACTCAAAAGAATTACGGAAGAGACACTTCTCATATAAATCAGGACACGAATACAACACGGTCAAACAAGGTTTCCAACAAATAGGAAGAAAATAGTTTGACCTTATTGTACAGCTTGTCCCATTTAATTTTAGAAAAATAACCAATGATAATAAAAAGAAACCTCAAAATATAGAATATCTTTTTTAAAAACGTTATTAAACAATAATTCATTAATGCTCTTTTAATCCCATATCTAAGATATGAATAAAAGACTACTAATATGTAAAATACATTAGAACACATAAAAAACAAAATTCAAGACATAAAATAGCAGAAATTTCAGATTGGAACAGAATGAGTTAGAAATGCAAACAAGATATTTAACAATATACAGGATGTCTCAGTTAAATTAAGCTAAGTAAACTTCTAAAATGGAAAGAGGTAAGGGGAACAAAAGGATGCAGGATGTGTACCAACTTTCAAATTATTATCTTTCTTTGAGAAAAATATATTAAATATAAATTAATATCTGTGAATTTTTCTGTAAATTGTTTACCGTTTCCTAACTGACTTTGTATGTCATTGTATGTTTTAGAAACTCCCGTGTAGTTTAATTTAAGTGGGACACCCTAAAAAGAAGAAGCAAATGAGTAAACAGAAGAAATATACAAAAAATAGAAGTGAAATGAAAATTTTTACAAAGTCCTTCTTTTTCGTTTTTAAAAATAAACTTCTTCCAAGGCTATTTTGTTAAATGCTTCCTAGTCCAAATTTCAATTTAGTAGAATACGACTGATTGGTTTTATATAAATACCAGCTTAAAACTCGGGAGCCCGATGATATGCGATACATATTGAGGCAAAGAGCTCCAAGAATAATAAAATAGAGAAAATAAAATGAAAGGATGACACTATAATATTACACTATAAGAGTTGGTAAAGAGATGAAAAAAAAAACGCAAAAATAGGTACAGTAGGAAATAAAGACAGAGCAAATAGAACCCCAATGCCTGAAAGAAATTAAATATCTTGAAGTAGAAACTTTTTATCTCAAGGGGCCACCTTCCTATCACATGTTCAACTATTGTACGTCACGTCATTCCTCTTCCCTAAAAATGACTAACCAATACAATTTAAATAGGGAAAGTACAAAGTCACATCTTCACTGGACTCGTCTAATTCTAGTTTCTTCAGGTTTTTATGTTTACTTTTTCTCATTTCTTCCCTTTGAATTTTTCACATTTCTTTTGTTCCCTTTCTAGCATATTTTTTCTGTTTTATTCCTGCTATGGTTCTGAAGTTTTTTCCTCAGGCCAAAACCAAGGTCCTTTAAATGGCGTTGATCTATTGACTTCTGTGAAGTTTTGCTATTGTGATATTGATGTTAATATTAAGAGGAGTTCAAATATATTTTTTACCAAAATACAAATAATGCTTTATACTCTATTGTTGTTCTATTTTTGTGTTTTTTAAATTCATCTAATAACATGTTCATTCCAGTAATAATCAATCAATTACCAGCTCCGGATAATCTATTGCAAATGTTATTTTGTAATTGTAAAAAGGGATGTGGAGCTGTTTGTGGATGTCGAAGAAGTGGCTTCTTATTACTAAGCATGTTCAAAGTGCAGCAAAAATAGTTGTTTCAATGCTCCACCTATTATTCAAATAAATGAATTCGAAAAAAATATTTAATATGTATAAAAATGTGAATTGTTTAAATAAAAAAAAATAATTTTATTAGTAATTTTTTTTAAATTAATTTTCCTTCAGTTATTTCTTTTTCTTGGTTACTATCTGAATACATTATTTGAATTATTGCAATTATCATTTATTTATTTATTTTTTAAAACAAGATCACAATTATTAAATTGGTAAACTGGTAAATTGGTAATTTAAATTAGCTATAATATAATAATATTTTTTTTAATGAATGATTTTTAAGTTATTTGTACGTAGTTACATCTTTTTTTGTTACATTATCCAAGTTAACATCGACTTTGATTATCAACTGCTTTTTTTCATGATTAACGTAGGTATAGGCAACACATTATACACTACTTACGACAAACTTTCTGTCTCAAGCGGCAAAGTATCACTTTTCACGCTTAATAAGTACACAAATAGCTATTTCCTAACAAGGGCGCAAAGTGTTACTTTTCCGCACGCAAATACGACGGGAGACGGAGTTCAGTTCAATTTTTCAGTTTGTGCGTGCAAAAAAGGCACTTTGCAAACTAGTTAGGAACACCATTTTTCCTACCATCTTCATGTCAGATAAAAAATATAAAGAAATAATCAATTAATCAATAATTTTTAATTAAACTTAAAAGAAAGAACTATACAACAAAAACGAATTACATAATAAAAAATATTAGAAAATCGGGACTGAAAATGTGGTGGCAATCACCTTTAATTTTGTTTGTTTGTTCATAATATTTATGATTAAAGAACAATTATTGACATTTTTTGTATTGAAGACAGATCTGGTCAGTTCATTTAATGGATGACTTATGGTACGGCATGATGAACACTGATTTGGGGGATGGGCAGATAATATGGCTTGATGAAGATTGATTTAAGACAGTTGTTGAAATGGGTCGATGAAGGTTAACTTACCAATGAGATTTTTGAGTAGTTTTACTTTTCCGCGCTCTGTGCAAAATAGCTATTTGTGTATTAAGAGCGAAAAGTGATACTTT